TTCAAGGAGATTAGAGATATGCAGCCCTTCCTCAGGTAACATGTACCTTAAATTGACTGCACTTTAAATGCATATTTAATCACACACACTGACACTTTATGGGCATGTATGTTAAGCTACTGTAAACTGGCTTTGAATATAAACTACATTAAGTGAATGCATTAAATCACAGTTTAACCTTCCAAAAACTGTGTTTAGAACACAAATAAACCATGGAGTCTGAAAACAGTACAATAATCATACCATGGAATATATGTACATATCCTCACTTCCTTTACAAGCGATTACTGTTAGTAATTCAGTGGTTGCACCGACTAGCCCGCTCTTTCCCGCCGCTACAGTGTGTGCTAACCAGCTAGCATCATGGCCTGTTGGCTACTTCCTGTAGCCGCTGCTGGCTCCGAAACACAACAAAACTCGTCTTATATCTTTTAACACATTAACACAGTTCCTTAAACATTCCTCGAACAGAACCAAATAATAAAAGTACAAAAAATAAACTTGAGGGTTATTCTCACCTGAAAAACAGCATGTGAAGGAGCACACGGGAGACGCAGTCCGTGTTACTCCAATGTCTCTCAGCTTATGAGAAACGGCAGAGCAACAGGCAGCTGAGTCTTCGTGCGCCCCCTACCGGTGAAACACCGTTACGGCACCCATCGTCATTAACCCCTGTTATAAAAACCCCCATTTTCTTATCATAACCCCATAAACATTTAAAGAAATGCATGCTCTTGTATTTTCACTTTTGTGGGCACACACCAGTGGGCATCACATAAGCTTTCTTTTGTTATTCAGGTTTTTGCAAACAGCAGCTCTCATTTGTTATGTTCTGTTGTTCACCAGTTAATCTGTGATCAACCTCTTGATCAGTTCGCTTCTGCTTGAACCGAACCGGGCCGAGCTGAGCCCGGTTCGGCTGGTCTGGATGATGACCGGATCCCACCTGGACCTGTTCGGTCTCTGGATTTGATTCAGCAGAATTATCCATAAATAAACAAACATAAAGCAGCCAATCAGAAAGCAGTCCATCCTCCTCCACTGCGGTTCCCATGGTAACCACCTTCAGATGGTTCAGTCCTGCTCAGACTGATGATCAAATATCTATAATCAATAACAGTCCCTCTGAATCGCTTTGGATCTGTGACGTCATCCCGTCGCTTCACGACGCAGAGGTGAGGCAGAGGATGAAAATCTGCTGATCAGCCAGTCTGCGGCGCTTCTCTCCCTCTCTGCGGGTTTTTCTCCTCCATCTTCCAGCAGCGATGCTCCCGCAGCCCGCGCCCCGCCTCGCAGCTCCGCGCGCGGCCAAGCTGTAGCTCCACAGCTCGGTGCGCGGCCCCGCCATGGTGCAGAAGTCCCGCAACGGCGGGGTGTTCCCCGGAGCGCAGGCCGAGCAGAAGAAGCTGAAGGTGGGCTTCGTGGGTCTGGAGTCCGGAGGGACGGAGTCCAGCAGGGACGGAGCTCTGCTCATCGCAGGTGAGCTCATCCCCGCGCACACCGAATGACCGCGTGCGCGAGATCGGTGAGGTGTTTAGGAATAAGCAGGACAGGTAAGGTGGTTCTGATCCAGATGTCACCGGACCGCAGGGTTAGAGATGATTACTATTTAATGGAGAGGCCGAAGAGATGCATCATGGGAAAAGATGAGGAACATCAGACTGAGGTTCTAGTGCAGGGGGTCCAAAGTGGGTCCTGGAGGCCCGGCATCCTGCATGTTTTATTCTCTCCCTGGTGGCAGCAACAACCTCCTCAGCAGGTCAGTGTTCTCCTTAGGCCTCTGATGAGCCATCATTGGATCCAGGTGCGTTAAACAAGGGAGAGATGGGGGAAAGGAGAGCAGACATATGGGTCCCATATGGGTTTGAACCCTGGTTCCACAGTGGCCCCATATGAGTTTGTCCATGTAGGGCCCACGTAGGCTGTGGCCCTACATGGACAAACCCATATGGGACCCATCTGGATGGGTCCCATATGGGATGAGGCCCATATGAGGCCCACCTAGGATGCTGGCAGGGATGCAGGATGCCAGCCCTCGAGGCACCCTTGTTCTAGTGGGTCAGAACCGGATCAGATTCTTTATGGATCTACTCAAGTTTATTTATATAAAACATTTGAAAGTGCTTTATATAAAAACAACACAATTATTAACCAAAGCCAAAACAGTAAATAAAATAAAACATTACATCAAAGTGCCAAAATAAAGAGAAGTAACAAAAAGTTATGATCCAGCATGATAATCAATATTCCAGTTATTATTAATCAATTCTAACCAGCTGGTTTTTAGCCTGAAAGGAACTCAGTGTTTCAGCTGTTTGTCAGTTTTCTGGAAGTTTGTTCCAGATCTGTGGTGCATAGAAGCTGAATGCTGCTTCTCCATGTCTGGTTCTGGTTCTGATGCAGAACAGAAACAGAACCAGAACCAGCAGGTTGATCCAGCAGCAGATCTTTAATTCGTTCAGTGATTTATAAACTAACAGCAATTTAAAGTCTCAGTGAAGGAATGTAGAACCAGGTGGTGTAGAACCTGGTGGTGTAGAACCAGGTGGTGTAGAACCTGGTGGTGTAGAACTAGACGGTGTAGAACTAGACAGTGTAGAACCAGGTGGTGAAGAACCGGGTGGTATAGAACCGGGTGCTGTAGAACCGGGTGGTGTAGAACCAGGAGGTGTAGAACCGGGTGGTGTAGAACCGGGTGGTGTAGAACCGGGTGGTGTAGAACCAGGAGGTGTAGAACCAGGTGGTGTAGAACCAGGTGGTGTAGAACCGGGTGGTGTAGAACCAGGTGGTGTAGAATCAGGTGGTGTAGAATCAGGTGGTGTAGATCCAGGTGGCGTAGAACCGGGTGGTGTAGAACCGGGTGGTGTAGAACCGGGTGGCGTAGAACCGGGTGGTGTCTCTACCCTCCTGGTTCTAGTCAGATCTCCAGCTGCAGCTTCTGGTCTCAGTCTGACCTGCTGCACTAAATCCTGGATGAGTTTCTCTGGTCGGAGACTTTCGTCCTCTGGGCCTGAATGTCCTGCAGCTGCTGAAGGTCCACTGAGGAACCGGCTTCATGTGGCTCTGAGGTCAGAGGTCATCCTGATCTCTGGTTTCCAGCTGTGATAACTGAAGCTGTGCTCTGGGTCTATAACTAGATCTGTAACTCTAGATTGTCCGGAGATAACTTCAATTTCTGTTCAACTGGAAAAGGTTTTGGCACATCCACTCAGCGGTTATTGAAACCAAATATTTTCCATCTTTTACTGTTTGTAAATCTGAAGGCTGTGCTGCTGACTGTCCTGTTGGTACAGACATACTCAACATTACTCACAGTAAATCACAGAGTAAGTCAAATCATTGCCACAAGAGTTATGGAGGCTTTGAAGCAAATCTGGTGTATATGATAACTCGCAGGATTGGGAAATTCCTCGTTCAGAGTCTTGATGAGTTCTGATGGCTTCGATCAGAGAAATGTTCTCTGATTTCAGCCAAAGTCAGGAAATACCAAACCCCCGTCCACTAGCATCAACCAGCCCCAGTGTTTGGTGTTAGTTCAGCTTAAACTAGGGCTGTTGTAAACAAATATTTTAGTAATCGAGTAAAATCCCATTATTCTTACAATTAATCGAGTAATCAGATAAAAATAATTGATAAAATAAAATGTTATCGGTTATTAATATCAGTCCAATTTTTCATTTTTGAGCTTCCCTAACAGTTACTTTTTTGTCGTTTAGAAAACTAACCTGTAACAATAACAGCTCACTTTCTAAGTTAACCTGAAGAAAAGTTATATAAAGATCTGAAATTATATTCAATTTAATAATAAAGAGGCAGGCTCACAAATACGCTTATAAAATATGTCTGTGCTCCAGCTTTTAGTTTATGTATTCATCTTCAGTCAGTTTAATATATGAACTCTCACCTTGCCCCAAACCTGTCACTCTTTGGGTTTGAGGATACGGGAACTGTTGGGGGTTTGGGGTGGGGGGCAGTAGACCAGGGTACGAACATAAGACAGGGGGGAGAGCAATATGGGTGTGCTAAATAATAAAACATAAATTAATGAAGCTTTGAGGCAGATCAATTTACTTGAGGAATTTTAATAATCGAGGTACTCGAATCACTCAAGGAATTGTTTCAACCCTAGCTGAAAGCTTTAGCTTCTGGACTTCTTGGTGGTCAGTCAGTTTCTGTTGGTTATACCTTTTTGAACATAATGAGGGGAACATGGCTGCTGTTTGTGGTCTCCAGGTGGGGACGAAGGTCCTCGGCGTCAGCGCAGCAGCGTCTCTGGAGGAAAGAGACCTCCGAAAAGAAACGCCCTCTACAGGCGGCTGCAGAACTTCCTCTACAACGTTTTGGAGAGACCTCGCGGATGGGCCTTCATCTACCACGCCTATGTGTAATTACACACGCACACATACACACACAGCTGTCAGCTAGTGCTGCTGCTTCATGAATTTATCATTTAGTTTTAATGCGCTTTGACTATTGAAGAGTTTCTACGGCTGCTCTGAGATCCCAGCTGCAGTTGGATCTCAAAGTTCTGACCAGCTGATCTCAGCTGTGATGGGTTTGTTGGCGTTCTGTGTCCAGGTTCCTGCTGGTGTTCTCCTGCCTGGTTCTGTCCGTGTTCTCCACCATCAAAGAGTATGAGAAGAGTTCAGAGGACGCCCTCTACATCCTGGTAAACACCAGAACAACACGCCTGGTTCTGGGCCCAAGGGAGGAAATGCCATCTCGTTATTGGGAGGACGATAAGATTTCTTAAGTGTAATTTCGTGGGTCAGAAAAGTTACAGTGAAATGTAACGTGGTTTAAAACGTTTTTAATGTGTTCAAGGCAAAAATGACTAGTAAGTGATAATGGACAACAAACGTGTGTTTTTCTCAGTCAACAAACTGTTGAGACCCATAGAAGTAAAACTAAAATTCAAATGTTTAGATCTGAGTTTGTTTCAGTCACTGATCCAATCTCAGCTACACCTTTACAAAAATTAAGACTCTAAATAAAAACAAGTTTTAATGAGTCACTCTACTTACGAAAATTCCTCATAAATATTAAATTATTGTAGAGGCTCACAATACAAGTTATGTGTTATTTAAATTATAACTTAAGTAGGTGAATACCTGGGAAGTATCATAACTTCAACTCAAAGCACCAGGGTTTTTATGGAAAAATATTCAGAGTTTATTGTGTGGTTTTAAAGGCTTTATGTTGAAGACAATAAGAAATAAGGGCCTAATTATTTTTTTACTGTCAGCTGCTCTGCAGTATAATATCGCCCCTCTGCTGTCGGCTCAGCCCCTCTAGTTTCAGACTCTTCTTATTAACGTAAGAGTTTAAGAGCTAAATGTAATTAGATATTTGCTAGTCTATCAAAGTAATGTAGCCAGTTTTGCTAGTTTTGACTTAAGGCATAACAGGCAGTTTATCATGATTCAGCCAAAATAATGAAATAATGAACTGCAGTCTGATTTTTGTTCATGTGTTTCTTCTTATTAAGCAGTGAAAGTAAGTAAAATCTGTTTCATGTCTTTTGCTTTAAGTATTTACTTACTGGAGGGTTAATGTTTGTGCTGCAGAGCCACAGCTAACAGCTAGCTCCTCTGGTTCCATT